TTTCCAATACAGTCCTGAGTTCTCATTTCCCTGGCAGCCATCGGCACCGTCTTTCCTGAGGTTGAATAGGGAGCTTGCTGTGAGATCCTTGAACTCACACTGAAGCACAGAGTCTTAGTTTCTTCTAGTCACCTGCCCAACTGAACTCCTAACACTGGGTTTTAACTCTACCAGGAACGGGGACTAATCTTAGTAGTTTAAGCTGCTTGGTCTCAGGTACAGGGTGGCTTCTGACTGGAGCTGTCTACAGAGGCTTACAGAATACCAGCGTTGACTTGAGAATTCCCCAAAACTAGATCTGCAACATTCTAAGTACTGTTTGGTGGTTGTGGTGGTGATGATGATGAGAGGTTTAAGGCATAAATCACCTTCCCAGTGTTCTCTGCCTTTGCCTACTTGCTAGTCATTGGGGGCAATATATTGGGTAATACAAATAAGCTTGTCTGATTTTCATAAAAAACACTATAAAATAGACATCAAACAAACACCAATCAGAAGAGATGGGGAAGGACATATATACTCAAGGAAAAACTCTAAGAGGACACTGCAATTCTGACATCTATGCACCAAATGCAACAACACATAAGAAACACTACTACAGCTTAAATTATATGTTAACTCCCCCACACTGATAGTGGAATCTTTTAATACCCTACTCGTACCAACAGACTGGTCAGTAGGGAAATACTGGACCTAACATATTTACAGAACATTTCACCCAAAAGAGTACACCTTCTTCACAGTACCTCATGGAATTCTCTCCAAAACTGAACAAATACTCTGATACAAAGCGAGTCTCAACAGATACAAGGAAAGTGCACTAACAACCTTGATCCGGTCTGATCATCACAGCCTAAAGCTGGACAACAACAAAAGGCTCACACAAACTCATGGAAACTGAACAACTCTCTACTGAGGAAAAAAGTGGGTCAAGACAAAATTAAGGAAGAAATTAAAGACTTTCTACACTGGAATGAAAATGAATACACAATATACCCCAACTTCTGAGACACAATGAAGGTTGTTCTTAGAGGCAAGTTCATTGCACTAAGTGCCAACATAAAAAAAAAAAATTGGACAGATCTCTTACTACTAACTTAACAGCATAGCTATAAGTTCTAGAATAATAAGAAGAAATCAAATCCCAAAGGAGTAGGTGGCAAGAAATAATCAAACTCAGGGCTGAAATCAATAAAATAAGAACAATACAAAGAATCAATGAAACAAATAGTTGGTTCCTTGAGAAAATCAGTAATATTGATTACTAACTAAATGGCAGGAAGAGAAGATCCAAATGAATACAAGAGAGATGAAAAGGGGGACATAACAAGACACAAGGAAATCCAGTGAATCATAAAGACAGACTTTAAAAACCTGTACTCCACCACATTGGAAAATTAGAAAATGGTTAGTTTTCTTGCTAAGTACCACTTACTAAAGTTATATTGAGATCAGATAATCAATTTAAATAGACCTATAACTCCTAATGAAATAGAAGCAGTAATTAAAAGTCTTCCAACAACAACAAAAAACCCAGGCCAAGTGGTTTTAATTCAGAATTCTACCAGACTTTGAAAGAGTTAATGTGAATACTGTTCAAATTACTCCACAAAAAACAAAAGGAACATTGCCCAATTTGTTTTATGAGGCCACAGGTACCCTGATATTCAAACTACATAAAGACCCAACAAAGAAAGAGAATTACAGGCCAATTTCTCTTAGGAACATAGATGAAAATATTCCAATAAAAATACTTATAAACTGAACCCAATAATACATCAAAAAGATCATCTACCATGATCAAGTAGGCTTCATCCCAAAGAGGACAGGCTAGTTCACCATATGTAAATTGATAAATGCAATCTTCCACAGAAACAAACTCAAAGGCAAAACCACAGGATCATCTTATTAGATGCAGACAAGGTCTTTGACAACACCCCTTCATGATAAAAATCCTGAAGAGATTAGGAATACAAGGGACATACCTTAATAAAGACAACACAGCAAGCCCACAGCCAACATCAAGTTAAATGGAGAAACTCAAAAGCAGTTCCACTAAAATTTGGAAGACAAGGTCATCTAGCCTTTCCAAATCAAGTTTCCAGTACTGGAACTGGGTTACATCTATTTGAGTTGTTGGTCAAAAAGGCCCCACGGAAACTCCCAAACAACTCAGGACCATAGCTTGCTCTTCACAAACTTATGGCAAGGCCCACAATACCTACACAATTCTTTGAGCAAAGAGAAAACAAGCTTGTGCCAAGTTCTGTGCCCGAAAGCCTGAAGGCAGGGACCATGTGCGGTTAGCTTACTGGTACCCATCCTAGGCCCAACAAAGAGTTTTAGAAAGATGTCGGCACACTCAGCACTCCTCACCACTATATGCTAGCATCTTTGGTACAGGAAGTTACTCTGGATGCTACCAAAAGAGACTAGATATCCCAGGGACCTAGGGTAAAGACAAGTACTACCTGTTCTCAATAAGAAAAAGTATCAATAAAATGACTCCTAATGACATTCTGCTATACTCAGATCAGTGTCTGACTCAGCCATCATCAGTGTAGCATAGGAGAACAAATAAGAGACCACAGTCAGACAGCATGCAAAAACTGAGACTTCGCAACACCTATCCTTAAAAGGCATGTCTCCATTAGATCCCTCCCCTCAGGGCTCAGGAACTCTGCAGAAGAGGAGACAGAAGGAGTGTAAGAGCCAGAGGGGACGGAGGACGCCAAAGAAGCAAGGCCCTTAATCAACGGGACTGATGCACATATGCACCAGCAGAGACTGAGGCAGCACGCACAGTGTCTGCATGGCTCTGGATCAGACAAAGTCCTAGAGCTGAAAGAAGTGGCCACAAGTCCCCATCCCTAGCCCAGAAGCTATCTCCAACTGATAAACCCTTGCAGACGACACTTTAGTTGTCTCCCAGCTTCTCCCAGTGAGTCTTACTGGGGAAACGAACTACTCTAAAGGGCAGGTTCCATGCCCAGCAGTAGATGGCCAACAGAAAACGACCTTAGGGCATCTCTGGAGGTGCCTTGTCTCAGGGCCTGTCAAGCTTCTCCCTTTTAAAAAAAATTACGCATACACATGCATACATACACATACACACACACACACACACACACGCACACGCACACTTTTTTTTTTCTTCTTTTTACCCTACAGGTCCCTTGTGTATATATCATGGCTTCCAGGTTAGTGTTTTTATTTGATTCCTGAGTGTGTATCTGTACCTCTTCGCTTCTTTTACATTTTTTTGATGTTCTTTTCCTTCTGATAATTTGTATTACTTTGATGTTAGTTTTTGTTTTAGTGTACCTTATATTATGATACCTAGAAACCTGTGTTTTCTAAAGAGAAAGAAAGGGGGTGGATTTGGATAGGAAGGGGTT